ATAAGCAATAGAAAATAAGACTACGAAAAAAAGGCACAGAGAAATTATTGAAAGAACTAAAAAGTCAAGGAAATATTAGAATATCCGGAGTGGTATATAGGATTTGTTTACTATTATTGCGTAGTCTGACTTTTGAATTTACCACCTCTGGATTCTACTGAAGAGCTCAGTTGTTTCTACTGCTTTGAAATGTGAAATATAGTTAATATTTTAGTCCTGGTGTGACAGCCAAGTATAATGGTTTTGCAAACCAGCCTTCTATGAGACAAGGAGTGAAGGAGAGCGGCGGCCTGGTCCAGTGGTTCTCAACCTGTGGGTCGCGACCCCTTTGGGGGTCGAACGACCCTTTCACAGGGGTCGCCTAAGACCATCGGAAAACACATATATAATTAGATATTGTTTTTGTGATTAATCACTATGCTTTAATTATGTTCAATTTGTAACAATGAAATTGGGGGTCACCACAACATGAGAAACTGTATTAAAGGGTCGCGGCATTAGGAAGGTTGAGAACCACTGGCCTAGTCTAAAGAAGACACCTGTAGGGAGGGAGATGCCCAGGGAGCCCAGTGGAAGAGCCCTTCCCTAAAAGGCTTGCGAGATCTTGATTGAGGAAAGAGTGAAAAGTCTTTTGAAGGTGCTGAGCTGGGAAAGTCTGTAATCAGATGTGCCCTTGCTATGGTCACCATAAACGACAACAAAAGAAAAACAGGACCAGACTGAAGCTATGGCTTAAAGGCATCTCTCCCCCTGAAGAGGATCCCAAGGCATCGAAGAACCACTGGGAAATGTAGCTTGAAGGTCTCAAGTTGCCTGTGCCAGAAGGTCCTCCCCTGTAATGCCTGAGTGTGGGACTCGGCCGGGACTTGAACTGCCGCTGTCACCAGTCCTCTCAGAGATAACCTTTTAGCTGAAGTATTTGTTTTATACTATTGGATCCTGTCTGGTAGGTTTTCCAATTTATTTGCTTTTTCAAATGAAACAAGCAGGGTTTCTAATCATAAAAGTAATTTCTATTTTGTGTATGTGAAAGGAGAACAAGTTTGTATATTCTTAGAAAGAAAATATAGCAGACACACCAAACCTAACAGTTGTTATTAGGATGCACAACCAGTTTATATTTATTCACTCTATGGTTCTTTTTGTAGTATTTGCCTTTTTCTAAGCTAAATGTCATGTTATTTTACAGTAATACTTTGAGTGATACTTTTGAGTTCTCTTTTGAACCCATTATACTAAAAATTAAAAAAATAATAGAAGGTACCATTGGCAGCACCAACCAGTTCCATAAAGGAATGTGCGCGCAGTGTTACCAAGTTTGATTTTTCAAGACAAACTGGATACCTACAATTTTGAAAAATCTGGTTTCCAAAGGATAGCAACAAATTCAAAATGTTTAAGAATATTCTGCAGAATGCCTAAATCCTTTCAAACTGGATTTGGCCTTTAGATGGCAAAATTTTAGACCAATAAGAATGTGTTTAAAAGTGTAAATCTAATCACAGTAAGAAACAATTGTGAAAGACTTAGGCATGTAGTGGATATTCTGGCTAGCTCATCTATCTGCTTATCTTCACCCCCGGTTTTCTTTGACTAGGTTATGCAGTAACTCTATCGGAGGTGATGTGTATGACACTGACAGTCATGTAAATAAGCCCTGTCTACAGAAGTGTGCCTGGAAGACTGCATTAACTTCTGTCCTGAGGATAGTGACTGGTTTTGCACCCATTTATAAAATGGACATCCCCTCATTCTTCTATAAGTACTTTGAGTGATACTTTTGAGTTCTTTTGAACCCATTATAATATCTTACTAATTCCTTAATTAATGAGTAACGTCTTTTTTTAATATATTTTTATTGATTTCAGAGAGGAAGCGAGAGGGAGAGATAGATTCTCATCATTCTCAACATCAATGATGAGAATCATGGATCGGCTGCCTCCTGCACGCCCCCTACTGGGGATTGAGCCTGCAACTCAGGCACGTGCCCTTGAATGGAATCGAACCCAGGGCCCTTCAGTCCACAGGCTGATGTTCTTGCTCTGAGCCAAACCAGCTAGGGCATGAGTGACGTCTTTGACAGGTTTTAATATTTGTACGAAAGATGTGATTTGATCCTGTTTAAAAATGTATCCATTAACTTCAGACTACCAATTAGGATCCCAAAGATTGTACCCCTGTCTTTCTATCCCACCTTGGTATTTTTCTTTTTGAAGTTTTGTGACATTGGTGTAACATCTGGGAGGATAAGGAATAGAGGATCAGGGAAAGACATGTAAACTGATGTCACATATGAGCTCCACAGAACTTCTGAAAGTCAATTAATGAAATTAAAGTATTAACATAAGTTTATTTCTTCCTCTCTTATTTATACCCAGACACACAAAAAAGGCAAAAAACAACAACAACCCGCTCAAGGAATAACATAAACAAAGAACTGAATCTTGAATCCATAGATTTTTTTCAAACTCCAGGTCCAAACTCTTTAGAGGATGTAAACTCAGCCTACTGAGTCATGGCCAGATTTATTAACAGAATGAAACAGGAAAAAGAAAAGGAGAAAAGGAAGCGGAAGCATAAATATTATGAGAGAGAATCATATATGATAATGTGCTATGAACATTTGCTTTGGGATACATGGACAAGGTCATTGAAATGTATTTCTTAATTTGGGTTGCCAGCAAAAAAATTTCAAAGCCGCTAATCATACTTTGGTGCTCACATATCCCCTAAAAATGTTTTGAAAACTTTATGTGTCCCCCTGCCCCCCGCCCCGCCCCGCCTTGTACCTTTTAAGTTGTCATCTAAAACTTTCCATTCAAAATTATAAAAGATGTAATTTCTAGCATATTATAAATATTTATATGTTGTAATAAAGCCAAGATATCATTCTTTTACATTTATCCAATGAATTATAAACACTATAACGTCTTTATACACACCATCAACCATTTAAAAAATAGATGAACAAGTTCTTTTGTGACAGCAGGAAATTTTACATTGTTCTTTTTCTCCTTGAACTCTTACTTCCATTTCCACTGGCCTGGAGTAGCTCAGAGATGGCCCCAGAACCCATGCAGCTTTTCTAACATATCCAGATGAATACAAGGTGGTGGTGGCAGCCTCATTTTTAAGAAAGCCTGTCCACTAATTTAAAACTCCTAACAGTTCACTGCTCACCTAACTGGGAAAGTAACATCATGCGCATGTATAACAGTCATTAAAAATGTGAATTGCCGAAACCGGTTTGGCTCAGTGGATAGAGCGTCGGCCTGCGGACTGAAAGGTCCCAGGTTCAATTCCGGTCAAGGGCATGTACCTTGGTTGCGGGCACATCCCCAGTAGGGGGTGTGCAGGAGGCAGCTGATCGATGTTTCTCTCTCATCGATGTTTCTAACTCTCTATCTCTCTCCCTTCCTCTCTGTAAAAAAATCAATAAAATATATTTTTAAAAAAATTTTTGAATTGACGTGATCTAATAAAATCACTTCCCTAATATGACTGTCTAGTTGCTTTTAGCAAATTCAGAAATTAAACGCGTATTATTTTTAGCCAAAACAGAACATCTAAACTACTCAAAAAGTCGGCGGTCTGGAGCTACAAGTGCATGATTATAAAGCATTGGGCAAGGGAGGATTCCGGAAGAAGGCAAAGGAGGTCCCTGGGCCTTCACAGTGTAGCTTTCAACAGGGGCTAAGCTGGGATATTTTTTCTTGATTTTATAGCTTTTTTCTTGATCCTTATAGTTTAAATCCTTCCCTATTTTATTTCATATTATATTAAAGGCCGAAAAGCTTTTCAGAAATGGGACAGGTAGGATTCAAACATGATATCCTTAAACAAAGTACCAGAAATCTAGGTTAGAATCCTGGGGGTGGAGAGGCTGCCAGTTTATCACAAGGGATGATTTTAACAGTTGGCCTTGTTGCCATGGAGAGCAGCACAGGCTTCATTTGATCATCGCAACGGCCAGCTACTGATCACTCCTGTAAGATACCCACCACCAGAGACGCTTTGCAATCATTAGCTATCACTAGAATAACAAAATCCTGCTATCCTAGAAGCATTACATTATCTGGAATTATTCACTTTCTGGAATTTTCTCTAGCAGAATTGCTTTCCAAGCATATGATAAAGGCATCTTGAACAGTCACAAGTTGGCCCAAGAAAATTTTAGAACAAAACCTTCATTCTTCTCAGACCATCTCACTAAGGTAAAACCAACCTCATAGAAATTGACCCATCTTCATTACTTTGTAAATAAATATGACCCCCAAAGTTTCTATTAGAATCAACAAAGAAGTTTTGTGTACTTTTGTTGTTGGATTTCGGGATTTTTGTTTGTTTTCCTTTTAATTACCCTATTATTTTCAGAATCAAAAATGGTAGCCTGGCAGTGGTAAAAACTGACTACCTTTCCTTCTACTGTCCCTTATTCAAAAAAAGAAAAATAGAACAGTATAATAAAGTCTCCTCTGATTTACTAATTTGGCAGGGGGGGGTAGGGGGTGGAGGGACAGGGGGAGTCTCCCAGTACATTAGACCCAGGTTTCTCCATCTCTTTATTCTTAGTGTTTTGGTCCAGACAATTCTTTGTTGTAACTTACTTCTCTGTGTGATCACCTAGTATATGATACACTTTAGCCAAGACATCTTAATATCAAGAGGTTTTATTTAAAAAAGAAAACAACAACAAGTTCCCTCTCTTTAATGCCGGACATGTGGCACCATAGATTATTTTTTCTAAATAGTGTGGGAGATGTAGACATTTAGAAGATAAAGTTGTTGCTTTCTGGAGCTTATAAATAAACTGTACTTGTAATTTATATCACTTGGGTCTCAAGAATATAATTTAAAGACTTTAGTGTTGTCCCAACTCTTCTAAATTAATGATACAATGATATGATATATTTTTATGTTTTAATGAAATTACAGACATAATTCTAACACACAAAAAACAAAACACATTTTGGTTTGGGCTTAAATAACACTGAACCTACCTATACAATACTAATTTCTACCCACTGCATTCAATGTTGCAACTCTGAAATGAAAAAAACACACACAGCATACTAAAAAAGACTTCAGACAACTCTAACAAAACACACCTCTTCACATAAAACAAATGTCTTAGATGAGTAAACACATTTAAATAGTGTCTTAAGGGAGAAGGAAGTCATCCGATGTAAGGCCACACCTCTTTACGCTCTCTATAGCACAGGGAAAACCTAGAATGAATAAAAATAAAAATAAAACATTATTCAGTGTCAGTCTTTAAATTGCTCTATTTGCTCACTTAAATTCATTTAACACACAACAGGAACCCTTGTATTCAGCTTCCAAAAGGTCTCATCATTTGACTTTCAATACAATCTAACTGCAGTATCAAGACTTTAATTCCTACCCGCCCACCCCCATCCCCACCCCCGCCGCAAAAAAAAAAAATCAGTTGTTTGTTCCTTTTTAATTAATCCAACCAACATGTTTTAAAAGGCAAATACTCGCCAGGCACAGTGGTAGGCCCTACAGAAACAAACCCAAACAAGACACTTTGTCCAAATTTAAGGAAATATCCAATCTTCTTGCTGCCTCTTTGGCCTGCTTCTCTGTCACCCCTCACAAAGCCAGTCCCACAAAGTATGGTGCTGAGTCCTGTGTAAAACTAGCACCAGCCATGCAAGAGGCTAACAAGTTGCTAACAAGTCTAGTCAAGCATTGCTATTTGTCTGGAAACTTACTTCAGACCCTGAGTAAACAAGAAAGCTGGCTGTTTTACCTCCTCCCAATTCTTCATCAAAGTGCACATAAAGATAACACAAGACAACAGCTGGCAATAGCTCCCTCAACCATGTGCCAAAGTCTGAGTAAATTTCCATGAAAAGCACAATCAATAGGGATAGGCCAAGAAGTACAACTGACCAAGAGTTCATCGCTGTACTCTCTGCCACATGCAGCTACTTCTCTCCAAGGAATGCATGAATACGTGAATAAACAAGCAAACTAAAACTGGAGAGTGAACCACAAAGATGGGAAAGTATTTCATCCATTTCCATTGACTTAACTTAATTCTAAAATACAGAAGTTGTACCTACAGGGAAAAAATAGGCTGCCAGACACCCTACTGCCTGAAAACTCTATCTAAAGACAGGCAGAACTAGGTCCCCTCCCCGATCCTGACCCCTCCCTCAGGACGTCATCCACCTCCATTGGAAGGTCAATGGTTTGTACCTGCCCAAGGAGGACTGTAAAACAGGGTCCCAGACAGAAAAAGCTCCATGAGCAGAGCCAGGAAGGAGATCTCCTCCATGTTCAGATCCTCAGCCCAGCACCCACATATGATGAGTGCCAGTCAGCCAGTGGGAACCGAACAGTGTGTGTGTGCATCCGTCTTTAGACGTGGAACTAGAAGCTGCATGCAATAAAGTTCAGAGAGGGAGACTAAGGTAATCTCACCCACCCAGTCTCTCCTTCAATAAGAGATTACCAGAATGCGATCAACATAAAGGAGGGAAAATATGGACCCAGAGATTTAGGAGGCTATTTCTCTGATGATTATTTTCCACCAGAAACTGTTGGTAAGTAGAGAAGACACCTTGGTAATATTCAAATGGTTGTGAAAAGCCAGTCTCTTACATCCAAGCTGCTGAGCAGAACGGCATAAAACCCAGCTGGATTCAGGGTCTCCACTCTCAGACAAGCCCGCACCCTTCCTTCCTTCTGGGGAAACACGGTTTCCTTCTCCCTTCACTATCTTATTGTTCATCATCACTAAGATGTCCAACATACTTAAGGACAACCTGGCCGTGCTAGTAACAGTTATAGCTTGTAATTTACTACTGAAGTACTCAGTGTACCCTGGCACTCTGCCCAATGCTTTACAAACACAATTTTCTCTCACGCTTACAAGCATATGAAGCTTTACCTCCCATGTTAATACAAATATTGCAACTATAAAAGGATGAATAATTTGTCCAGAAATCACTTAAGTGAAAGTATCAGGATTTAAACTAGGCTGTTTGCCCTAAGTCTATGTTCTTCACTCTGTGCTACACTCACTCAATGTCCACGCCTGAGTCATCTTCCCAGAACTATTCTACTCTCCACCTCAAAGCATGACGGTCCAAACAGCTGCTGGAAACAAAACCGTGTCACCTTAATTTCACCCTCTCCCTGTCCACCAAACACTAAGTCCTGCAGCTCATGCTATCTCATGAAACTTTTGGCTTCCCTCTCTTCCTACTGCTACTAGCACTTGGGTTCAGCTGACCATTATCCCCATTATGGGTGACTGCAACCCCCTTGGGTATCTTTTCAACATCGTAAACTCTCAGTAGCCATGTTTGTACCCAATCCTCCCCAAATCTCCTTCCACGCCATAGCTGTTTGGACAAGGGACTAGAGCTGGCAAATTAGATTATCCCAAGAAAGGAGAAAAATTTAAAAAGCAGACACAGAAAGCACAAAGTGACTATAGAAATGATTCAAAAAATATCAGTAACAACAATCAATGTAAATGGACAAAATACAGAAATGTCAAACCTTTAGCTATAGGCAGTATTTACAAGAAACACACCTAAAACTTAAGGGCACAGAAAAGCTGAAAGTCATAAGGCCAATACAGACACAAATACCACAGAGTATAAATGTCAAATAAGGTTTATCGAGGAAACCTAACAAGCAGAGAAGTACAAAGCACTCATCATCCACTAAACTCTAGTGCTCCCACAGAGAGGAATCCAGCCTCCACACATCTGGGCAATTCTGTTATAATGGAAGCCTCGCAGTTAAAAAGGTGTCTGTTCTTCCCTTGAGTTAAGACCTGCCAAGTCAGCCCTGATAAACAACAAAGAGATGAGGAAATGAGCAATCCAAGCCCTTAGGTGAAGTACAAGATGGAAAAAAATACAATGAACAAATTCTAACCAAAAGAAAGCTGGTGTGTCTATGGTAGTAGCTGAGAAAATTAACTTTAAGGCAAAAAGCATGATCTGAGATGCTCACTACATCATTTAACCATTTACTTCACAATCCTAATCTTGTATGAACCGAATAACAAATCTTCAAAAATACATAGTACAAGTCATCAGAAATTCAAGGAAAAACTGCCAATTGCTAAGTATCTGTTGGATACTTAGCACAATTATCTCAATTGAGATATTAATCAGACAAAAGGTAGTAACATAGAAATAGTTGAACAATGCGATTTACAAGCTTGATTCCAACAATTGGAAAATGCAATTTTTTCCAAGCACACATGAAATATTTACAAAAATTGCCCATGTACTTGATAAGCCTTAAAGCAAGTCACAAAGACTTTGAAAGATAATGCAATTACCTTAGAAATTAATAACAAAACAAATAACTTCAATAAATAAAACCAATTAATTTGGAAACAAAAACCATGAGTCAAGGGAGAAATAGGTTGGAAACTAGAAAATATTTACAACCTAATGATGATGAACATCTACTTATGACAACTTGTGGGACATGCCTGAAGCAGTAGGTTCAGGGAGCCACAGGCATACCTCGAGATACTGCGTTTCGGTTCCAGACCACCGCAATAAAGCAAGTATCACAATACAGTGAGTCATAATCTCTTTGCTGGTGGAGGATCTTGCCTTCAGTTTATAAAAATGCAACATCTGTGAAGGGCAATAAAGCAAAACACAATAAAACATATAACAGATGCAGAATGTTTTACAGGTGAGTTCCACCAAACGGTTGATAAGCAGACCAATTCAATTTTACACAGAATCCAAGAGAACAGAGGAAAGACTCCACAACTCATGTCATGAGACTAGCACAACCCTAACAACCAGAATCTGACAAGGACTATACAGGGGGAAAAAATTATAGGCTAATCTCCCTCATGAATTTTTATGATGCAAAAATCCTAAACAAAACAATATCAAACCCAATATATACTAAAAGAATATATCAAAACCAAGTTGTGTTTCTTCCAGAAATGTGAGCATGGTTCAATATTGGAAAATGTATTCATTTTAATAATCTCAATTAAGGCAAAAAAATTGATCAAATATCATAATCACTCAATTAAAACGCTTATCAAACAGGGAATAGATGGGAAAGTCCTTAACCTAATAATCAGAACTCCAAGTTGTAAAGAACTTCCAGAAAGGCTCCTTAAAGGGAGCTGAGCCCTATGAAGGCACACCCTTTTGCCTGACTACTTCTCTGCTGTCTGGAATGGGAAGTAGATGGTTGATGCCCCTGCATCTACCCTAGCCCCTAGCCTTTGAGGCGACCTTAAGGATGGAACCAGATACCAGATACTAGATACCAGATACTGAGAGAGAGAGAAAGAGAGCGAGAGAGAGCGAGAGAGAGAGAGAGAGAGAGAGATTACTTTTCCACTTATTTATGCATTCATTGGTTGCTTCTTATATGTGCCTTGATCAGGAATAGAACCCACAACCTTGACATATTGGGACAACGCTCTAATCAACTGAGCTACATGGCCAGGGCAGCCTTTGTATATTTAAGACACTTTTACTTATGCAGTCAAATCCCATCTTAACTGAAACACCATTTCTATTCAAAATGGTACTGGAAGTTCTAACCTGGGGAAAAGCAAGAAAAATAAAATGTGTAAGAACTGTTAAAAAAACAAATTATTCATATATGAATAGAAAATTGATCTTATAGAAAATTACAAGAGGGGAGAACCAAGATGGCGGCATAGGTTAACGCTGGAGTTTGCTGCCGTGAACAACTACTTCAAAAGTGAAACTAAAAAACGGAACAGACATCACCCAGAACCACAGGAACGCTGGCTGAGTGGAAGTCCTACAACTAGGAGGAAAGAGAAACGCATACGGACACTCAGAGGAGGCGCAGTGCTGAAGTCAAATTCTGAGGTGCGGAGTGCGCGGAGAGGGCTGGCGGCGGAGGGCGCGGTTGGCGTTTTCAATCGGGAGGGAGTCGCAGACTCTGAGCTCCAGATCCGGGCGAGTCTTTAGCGACCCAGACTCAAACGGGAGAAGCGGGACTGTCTGGCTTCGGTCAGAGTGAGTGCAGCTTTCTCTCTGAGCTTTGCAGCGGGTGCTGGGACTCTGAGAGGCAGAGCCCCTGGGGACAGGACTGAGAGCCGCCATAACTGCTCTCTCCGGCCCACCCTGTTGATCCTGTGCGACCCGCCCCACCCAAGCCCTGCACGGAGGCATTTGCCGGATAGCCTCAGGCAAAGGCTAGATTAGCACCTCCCTAGAGGACAGAAGTTCTCTCACTGCAGACACAGCTGATTCTCATAGCCACTTGGCCTGGAGGTCAAACCCTCCCTGGTATTAGCTACAACAATCAAGGTTTAACTATAAGACTGCGAACAAAGACCACTAGGGGGTGCACCAAGGAAGCATAACAAAATGCGGAGACAAAGAAACAGGACAAAATTGTCAATGGAAGATATAGAGTTCAGAACCACACTTTTAAGGTCTCTCAAGAACTGTTTAGAAGCCGCCGATAAACTTAATGAGATCTACAAGAAAACTAATGAGACCCTCGATGTTATATTGGGGAACCAACTAGAAATTAAGCATACACGGACTGAAATAACGAATATTATACAGACTCCCGACAGCAGACCAGAGGAGCGCAAGAATCAAGTCAATGATTTGAAATGCGAGGAAGCAAAAAACACCCAACCGGAAAAGCAAAATGAAAAAAGAATCCAAAAATGCGAGGATAGTGTAAGGAGCCTCTGGGACAGCTTCAAGCGTACCAACATCAGAATTATAGGGGTGCCAGAAGATGAGAGAGAGCAAGATATTGAAAACCTATCTGAAGAAATAATGACAGAAAACTTCCCCCACCTGGTAAAAGAAATGGACTTACAGGTCCAAGAAGCGCGGAGAACCCCAAACAAAAGGAATCCAAAGAGGACCACACCAAGACACATCATAATTAAAATGCCAAGAGCAAAAGATAAAGAGAGACTCTTAAAATGCCAAGAGCAAAAGATAAAGAGAGACTCTTAAAAAACAAGAGAAAGAAACTCAGTTACCTACAAGGGAATACCCATACGACTGTCAGCTGATTTCTCAACAGAAATTTTGCAGGCCAGAAGGGAGTGGCAAGAAATATTCAAAGTGATGAATACCAAGAACCTACAACCAAGATTACTTTATCCAGCAAAGCTATCATTCAGAATTGAAGGTCAGATAAAGAGCTTCACAGATAAGGAAAAGCTAAAGGAGTTCATCACCACCAAACCAGGATTATATGAAATGCTGAAAGGTATCCTTTAAGAAGAGGAAGAGGAAGAAAAAGGTAAAGATACAAATTATGAACAAATATGCATCTATCAACAAGTGAATCTAAGAATCAAGTGAATAAATAATCTGATGAACAGAATGAACTGGTGATTATAATAGAATCAGGGACATAGAAAGGGAATGGACTGACTATTCTTGGGGGGGAAAGGGGTGTGGGAGATGCGGGAAGAGACTGGACAAAAATCGTGCACCTATGGATGAGGACAGTGGGTGGGGAGTGAGGGCGGAGGGTGAGGCGGGAACTGGGAGGAGGGGAGTTATGGGGGGGGAAAAGAGGAACAAATGTAATAATCTGAACAATAAAAATTTAATTAAAAAAAAAAAGAAAATTACAAGAAATGACTTTAGCAGGATGACCAGAAAAAAGTCAAATGCATTTCTATATACCAGCAAAAAATAGTTAAAAATCTTTAATTTAAAAATACCATTTATAGCCCCAGCCGGTTTGGCTCAGTGGATAAAGCACTGGCCTGCGGACTGAAGGGTCCTGGGTTCGATTCCGGTCAAGGGCACATGCCAGGGTTGCGGATTGAATCCCCAGTAGGGGGCATGCAGGAGGCAGCCAATCAATGATTCTCTCTCATTGATGTTTCTATCTCTCCCTCTCCCTTCCTCTCTGAAATCAATAAAAATATATTTCAAGAAAACATTTTTAAAAAGCATTTATAATAGCAACAAGTTACCTAGGAATAAATCTAATCTAAAAATCAAAACCTTTATGAAAAAAATTAAGAAACATTTTGGATAGATTTTAAGAGGACCAAAATAACTCAAGAATAGTAAGAGTTGTCATTATGATGTTACTTCTGAAACCAATCCAAGGATTCAAATGCAATTGTGATCCAATCCCAACACAGTTTCCCATGGAACCTGACATGCTTGATTGTATATGAAGTAGCAAAGAGCCAAGAATAACTACACATTCCTGAAGAACAGAGCAAGGTAAAAGAACTTTCCATCAAGACATCAAAGTTACAAGGCCACAGTGTTGAAGAGAGTGAGAGGTCAATGGCAAAAGGTCACAGTAAAAAATGATGCTGGGACAACTGAAATGAAAACAAAACAAAAAAATTGGATATCTAACAACATACATGAAAACTCAATTCTAAATGATGGAGTAGTTTTGAATATGAAAGATAAAACTATTTCAAATCTTTAAAAAATATAGAACTTGTTTTAAGAAAGAATTCTTAAACTGGATTTTTTTAAATTGACTTTTCAACTATTTTAAACTTCAGGGAAAAACATTTTAACTATATTAAAAGTAGGAGCTCTTTCCAATGAAAGGGAAAAAAAGTAAAGAAAGTCAGAAAGAATGAAAAAAATGGAAAGGCCTAAACTGAGAAATGCAACATTATTATCCACACTACTACAAAAGCACTCAAAAATCAGTAAAAAAAATCCTCAAACAAAAAAAAAGATAAACACAAATAGCCAATAAATATTTGAAAAGCTGTACAACCTTATTAGTAATCAGAGAAAGCCAATTACAACCACAACATGAAACCATCTCATATCCATAAGTTTAGGGGGGCAGGGAGACTTCATTGCCAAAAAAATGTGGATCAAATGGAACTCTCCTCCTCTCCTGATAAGAGAATAAACTAGTACCACTACTTGGGGAAAATTTTGGTTTTATAGTAAAGCTGAAGATGCACACCCTATGTTCCAACAATTCTATTGATATACTTCTGCACAAGTGCACCAACAAATACGTACCAAAATATTCACAGAAGCCCTGCACACAACAGAAATGAACTTCAAATAATCAAAATGTCAGTCAAGACAGCAAAAAAGAATTAAAAAAATGAACTCCACCTACATGTGTCAACATGGATTAATCTCAAAAACAAGCAAAAGAAACTCAGAAGATATATATGGTATGATTCCAATTTTATAAAGGTCAAAATTGACAAAAACTAAACAACATTCCATTTAGGAATGTCTGCATGTGTAAATAAAAACATATAGAAAAGCTTAGTGTTTTCCAGACAGTGTTGCTTTCTGGCTGGTAGGGAGAAGGACTTAATTGAGGAAGTACAAAGTACTAAGTGGTAAAGGTCCATTTCTTAAGCTGAATGAGTTCATTTAATCTCTCTGGAAAGTACTGAACACATACTGGCCATATTTACATTTCTCTGTATGTTGTGTATTACATAATAAATTTTAAGTGACTCAAAATATATCCAAAAAGCTGTTTTAAATTATCTTCCTGCTTGTCTCCATGTTTTGTTTGCTGTTGGAAGGTAAGAGTGGTCTTTTAACTGTAACAGAACAATGATATTAGCATCTGGTACTTTAAGGGTTGCTATTAAAGACTATATTCATGCCTACCCTACCCTATATAATGCACATTGACTTGTTTTCTAAAGCAACACTAAGGGGCAAAAGACATTAAGTCTTTGGAAAAAATATAAAATAGATTTTATTGATTTGCACCAATAGAACCACAACTTTTTTATAGACCAATTGACATACACTCTGTATCGATTAATGAAATTCTTTAAAGTTGTTTTAGTGATAGCAACATTAAAAGACAAATATATAAGTATTGCTAAGTAAACACTGAGATAGACTATCCTTTAATTACGGTACATTAGATTTCCATTTTAAATTGCTGCAGTGAAGTCTCAAAAGGATCTTATTTGCTTAAGGCTCCAGCTAGGTCCCTGAATTTGAAAGATGTCAACTAAGTGCCTTGGGCAAACTCATGGACTAAGTTCCCCCAAAATAGTAATATCCAATAAAAAGTGTTTTCCAATTTCTGCAGCACTGCTGGCAGGTATTTTTATGAGCACACATTCTGGAATACCCCTGGCAAGTCAGGTGCCAATCGGCAAACACACACACACACCACAGAAACAAACAAAACAACAACAACGCGAAAATCAACAGCCACACGAGCCAGTGAGATCTCCTTGAGACAGGTCATCACCCACATCTCCAGATCTCCCCTCCAGAGTCCTGGGGAGCGGAGGGCAAGGGGGAAAGACTGCAGAGGAGTTAAAAAGGTCCGTGAACCATATGGACAATAGTTGGTCAGTTGCAAAACAGTACATGATCTACCCCCTCATTTTGCGGATGGGGAAATTACGGATCAGGAAGCGCAGCTGGTCAGACCCAGCAGCAATTTAAATCCGTCCCCTATCCTGGTCCAGGGGTCCTTCCCCCTACCGACCACTCCCAGATGCTCCAACACGTCGCTAACACGGAGGTGAGAAGACCTGCACCTCCGCAGGGGGCCAGGTCGCCAGCACCAGAACGGGTCTCGGCGGTAATCGGAGGGACCCCTCTTCCTACAGGTGGGGGCCCTGACGAGGGAAAGTGACGCAGCCCGGGAAGTAAACATCCATTCTCCGCCTCGCGCGACAGGCTGCCTGGCGAAGGCGGCGGCGATCACTGACAACCCCACTTCCCACCTCTAGGAGGGCGGGCATCAGAAACAACCCCATCCCCAGGTTTCCACAGGCAAGAATCACGCCCTTCCCGCGCAGAACCTGGCAGAGCGGGAATAGGGGAATGCGAACAGCCGGGACAGCACCGACTCCGCCTCTCTCTCCTCACCGTCAGTGGCGAGGAGGGTGAAGAGTGAGGCTGCGGGGCCTCCCGCGAGAAGAGGTACCTGAGGCTCGCACCGCAGGGTCCCGCCGCACCGCAGCCCGGCACCCTGCTTCCGGGGTCAAGTTGCCTCGGGGCGGCCGGAGTTCAGCGGAGCGAGCCTCAGGCCCCGCCCCACCCAAGCCCCGCCTCCATGCCCTCGCCCACGTGGACCGGGGCCACTTCCGGGACGCCGCACGTCACTAAGCAGCAGATCCCCCCACTTCCGTTCGCGTCCCTCCTTTCGCTTTCTCTTTGGTTGAGACCGTGAGGCTGGCCGAGATTTCCGCGCATTTGATTGGTGGAGCGAGAGGGCTGGTCTCCGCCGATTGGTGCCGGGGAACTCTGCCCCATAGACGCCCGCGAGCGGCTGTTTGACTGCGCCCCTGGTTTCCCGCCGGCCGCCGATCTCCGTCCGCAATGATGGTGGAGGTGATGGAGCTGCCCAAGTCGCGTATCAACGCCAGCATGCTAGCCCAGTCCATCGACCGGCCCGTCTGCTTCGTAGGGAGGCTGGAAAAGGTGCGTGCTCGCCGGCCGGGCTCCCTGGTCATAGTCGGTGGGGGGTGGGTGGAGCGTGGGGGGTGGGGTGGCGGGAGGGGAAGGGACCCCTTAACTGCCTGGAGGCGGCCTTAGGACGGGTAACGGAGGGTGAAGGAGGACAGATAGAAAGCCTTGACATCACTGGGCCCCCGGTTGCTTTATTTTTGCGCACTTTTTAGCTATTGCAGCCCCATTTTGGCGCCTCTTTTATGGCGCGGAATAGCAGCGTTTTCGAATGCGCTCCCTTCTAAGTTCTAGCGCCCCCACCCTGGTTCTGTTTGTGTTTACGTAAAAGAAATGGTAGACTTGACTCCCACATCTACTTTCTTGATATTTTAGTTTAGCCAGACTTGACGGCTAGTCTGATTTTCTTGTTTTCTTCTCTTCTGCAATTCTCCTTCTCAAACCTCGTTTTTCCTTGAAATCACTTCTCGATAAAACATTCCTCGATTGCCCCTTGCAGATCCCATAGCTGTCTGTTAGAGTGCAGCCCCTTCCTCCTCCTGGTGTGAAACAGGCCCCCAGAATCGGTGAACCAGGTTAGAAAGCTGAACGAAAGCGAATATTATATGAAGGCTTAGTAATATCAGCCACACAACCTCTTTTTGAAATAGGTGTTATTCTGACTTCACGGGTAGGGAAATTTGGTAGGAGTAGTGTAGATCAACCAATGACCTTGTATGCATGTATGCATAACCCGTGGACACAGATAATGGGATGGTGAGGGCCTGAAAAGGGGTGGGGGAGGAGGGGACGGAAAAGGTTAATGGAGGAAAAAGAGAACCTATGTAATACTTTACTAAAGATTAAAAGAAAATAACTTAAAAGATTCAAACAAAAAATGCTCAAGGCCACGTCAAGTAGCAAAGCTAGTACTCAAAACAGACCTGACTGCACACTTTGCAGCTGTCTCATAAGACTAGTTCCCAGATCTTTTGACAACTGATTCTCTTTACTAAATCATGCCTGATTTTTAAAACATGCCCTCAATGGAATATGTACTATTTAAATCATGGGTCCCAGCAGAGTTCATTTTTAGATAGTATGGACTCCATTTAGTTTTTAGCATAGGTTTGTGTGATATAGCAAATAAAAATACAGGATATATTTGTACTAAAAAAGGTGTTCATCTGGAAATTGAAATATAACGGGGTCGTTTGAATGGATACAGTGACACAAGATTATAATTTGAACCAAATAAACGTCAGAAAACAATTGCTTTGCACACATGTATCTATTACAAAAGTTTGGGTCAACCTACCCATCTTTTGTCAAATTAATATTTTTTATTTTAATGAGATTTTAAAGGTTTTGTTTATGTCGGATTTATTTTTTTCATTGTGTATTTCTTTTTTAGATTCATCCCACTGGAAAAATGTTTATTCTTTCAGATGGAGAAGGGAAAAGTGCAACCATTGAGTTGATGGAGCCTGTACGTTCAAGTATTAATTCTGTGCATATTAGAGTTAATTCTACATCTTGTTTTGGGTTGTTGCTATTATTTTTGGTTCTTGGAGTGGATGTATAAAGGATCAGCTTGTAAAACTTCCCTGACTGTAAACGTCCATTTTTGTCCTTGTATTACATTCTATTTCCCTTTACATGTCTAACCAATGATTATTTGGACTCCATGATTTTTTTAATACATCCCTTAAATGCTAGGTGAGAATTCTCATGTCTTTTGAAAGACCATAAAATCATGTAAGGTAAATCTTTTGTTTAAATCACTTTTCTTAAGGAAACATGAATATGATATTTTTTTAAATCCTGTTTTCTATTTTTGTTTACATGTATTTTCAATTGTCACTTAATTTGTCTTTATATTTTATATTTACATTTTCTTTGGCTTTTATTAAGACAAATGCATATGCTGTATGGTTCATGTGCAAGATAATAGGTAATAGAAGGTTCCTTTCATTGGTCTTTTTGAACAAATTACTCCTTATAAAACTGCTGGACAGTTTCAGTATCTTTAAGTGATTTTGTCTTCAACTTAAATGTTCAGCTGTATCTTTGGACCTAGAGCTATAGCTAAAGGTTAACAGGAGTGTGACATGCTGACACCAAGTACTCAAAACATTTTTTAACAGGTTGCACTTTGGCATTGGTAAATTTTTAATTATTTTGATACATGAAATGAAAAATAACAATTTTCCAAGTTAAGTCTCATCTGAAAATGTGATAGCATGAAGTTGGTATTTTGTTCTTTGTGTTGTTAGCTTGATGAAGAAATCTCTGGAATCGTGGAAGTAGTTGGAAGAGTAACAGCCAAGGCAACCATTATGTGCTCATCTTATGTCCAGTTTAAAGAAGATAACCATCCTTTTGGTAAATAAAGCATTTAGTCTCATGTATTTAGGAGAAAAACAAATTTTATTCTTTAGTCTCAATCCTGCTACATTTTCAATTTCTATAGAATTTTCTGATCTCGAAAATGGGAGGACATTTTGCCCTGCTTCTAAGTAGTGTGTGTATTTGTAAGAAACTCGGTAAATTTTAATATTTGTGGAAATAATTTTTTTAAGCCAAACAAAAATAATATTAATCTCTTTTGTTTTGTTTTAATATATGGATTAAAGCCATCAAATAATGTATAAGACCTAAAATACAACAATACAATGATGATCCAAATCTCAGTTTTAGAAGATGGATTGGGAAAATAAGTTGACAGTTAAAAGGGAGGTAAAAGAGAAAGAGGTAGAAATGTTTAGATAGTAGTTGATATCACAACTTTTCACTGTAGATTAAATGTTTGCTAAAATGTTTTTTTCAGATCTTGGACTTTACAATGAAGCTGTGAAAATTATCCATGAGTTCCCTCAGTTTTTTCCTTTGGGGGTTATGCAATATGATTGATCTCAATTGCAAATGAGCTGCATTGAAGACTGTTAAAGGAGATCCCTGATATTTGAGGGATAGATTCTTGTTACTTTTAATATTTAATTTGTTCTCTTTGTAATTTCATTTCCTAACTTTATTAGATATTCCAGTATGCCATTTTTAATGGAACTGGTATATCGACAGTTCTTTCCTACCTCCTCATAAAGAATCACTTATCTGGCATATGGTCAGATCAAAGAGTAACACAGCAGTTGTCTGACGTTTGTTTTCTGTTTTATTAATAAAAATTTAAATGGTACTTACTATTGGTTGTGTTGTTATTTTTTAGGCAGGTATTCAAGCACAAACTTGGAATTTAATAGCTGTACGGTCCGTCACTTTAGCTTGAAAGAGTGTAATTTGAATGAGTATAGTTGCCCTGCCATGTGTTCCTTGGCTTTCTAATAAGAATTTTATTAAGATATAATTCACATACAATTCACATATTTCAAGTGTACAGTTCAGTGGCTTTTAGTATATTCACAGAGTTGTACAATCATCACCGTCAATTTTAGAGCATTTTCATGATCCCCAAAAGAAAACCTATACCATTTACTATTATAGCCCAGTTCCTCCATCCCCCATACACACACCTAACACATCACTATAGATTTGCCTATTCTGGACATTTCATATAAATAGAATCATACGTCTTTTGCACATGCCCAGGACGTAGGCTCGATCCTAGTAGGGGACACGCAGGAAGCAGCTGATCAATGTTTCTCATCAATGTATAGGTGTCTCTCCCTCTAAAAATCATTAAAATAAATAAAAACCAGACAAGTGTGAGAAGAGGAAAACTTTCTGGGAAGCTTACAATGGAGGAACCTGGCCAATACTACCTTAACAGTGATCAAGGCGAACATAAATGATGACATGGACATCATGTGCCCTCTAATATGATGTGATAAGAAAGGCACTTCACCTCTTTCTCTCTTTTTTTTTTCCCAAAAACCCTCAATACCAGTCAAATCATGAGAAAACATAGACAAACAAATTGAGGGACATTCTACAAACTAATCACTACCTCCCAAAACTGTTGAGGTCATGAAAACAAACTCACATAGAAAAGACTAAGGAAACATGACAACAAAGTATGACGGGGGATCCTGGATAGGCTCCTTGAACAGAAAAAGAACTGAATAATCTGGAGTTTGTTAATGATAATATACCAGTGTTGGTTTCTTAGTTTTGACAAATGCACCATGGTAATGTGAGATAACATGAAGGTAGACAAATGGTGAGGGGTTATACAAGATCTCTCTACTTTCTTGGCAACTTCTCTGTAAATCTAAAATGGCTCCAAAATGAAAAGTGTATTTTAAAAAAGCTAATAACCTCCAAAGAGTCTCCACTGACTAGGTCAGGTCTATATTTCTAATTAAAACTTGAGGCACTGCAATCTAACTATGCCCACCTCAGTCTCAAATTCTACTCCCTTGAAACCACCCTCCCGCACCAGTTGCCATTCCTGGAACCCACTATAGACCCTTTAGGATCTGGGTGCTACTGAACTTGCTATTTGCTCAGACTGGAATGTCTATTTCTATGCCCAAAGGAAAACATTATCTAAGCTTTCCCTAACTTAGGCAAGCAGAATTAGGTACTTAATGTTACATTCCTTTCTTTACACCTTATCATGCTTAACTTACTGATAACCTTTTTTCAGCTTTCTTTTGTTTAAACACTAGAAAAGTCAGAAAGTAAAGTTCCTAGTGTCTTCCCAGGGACACTGCTATAGATGTGCTTTCCAGAACTTTTTCTACATAGATAAATTGTACTATAGCATCTCAATATATTGTTCAGCAACATGTATTTCTCCTTTAATATGTTTTGGCAATTGACATATGGAGCCATCTCATCCTTTTTAATAGTTGCAAAATGTTCCCTAATTTTGTGCCAAATGTTTCCTAATTGAGCTAGCCCGTTCTTTCATTAGTCTTCTCCACTAAGGAGAGGTCCTTATAAAGAACTTGTAGTTAAAAATCTATCCAGTCAAGGCAGAGAGGAGAGGGAATGACAGTTTGACCATAACATGTAAAGTGGCAAAGAATAAGAGGCAAGGATTTCAGGGTAAATTATATTGGATTCATGGGACACAGTGATTGATAGAAGGAGCTTAGAATAAGAACAAAGGATGAGGTCAATTTGTGAGGAGGCAATAAATTCACTTCAATACAAATTTATGTAGTTGATAGGCCCTTTAGTGAAGATGTGCAAAAGGCATTGGAAATATAGGACCAGATAGAGATTTGAGAGACACCATGCCTAAAATATTTTAAGATCTACCAATTCCTTCTCTACACTTTCAAAAGCTGAAACCAAAAAGCTTTTTCCCAAATTTGGGACAAAACTTCATTTGGCAACAAAACCTGACTAAGAATGTAATGGGGCTACTTATAGTCTTTATATCACTTACTGTAAATGCTCATGCTTCACTGAAGAAATAATATATTTGATTAGAGGGTAGGGCTCTTCAGGGGAGGCTATTACATAACATATGGTAGATCTATGACCTTTCTAAAATCCAAAAATTCTGAATTCAGAAGCAAGTCTGGCCCCAAGCATTTCAAGGGAGGTATTGTATTTCCAAATCAAGGGACAGCAGAAGGAGAGAAAATCATAGAACTGGGGGATGAAAGGGGTGTCTGCACACTTACAGAACAGCAATGGGAGAGTGACTGAGCCAGGAGAAACTCAATGGCGCCTGATACCTAGTAAGCACTCAGTAGGTATTTGTTGACTGAAAGAATATCATGACAGGCAAGGAAGGAGAGTTTCAAAGAGTAGCCAATAATGCAGAAAGCTGAAATAACCATTGGAAATAAGGATGAGGGTAAAACACTGTCATTCGTAACATATATCACATTTATGAAAAGGATTAGGCTATGAAAATGAAAAGGTAAATGAAAAAGGAGATGACAACTGACAAAAACAATAGGAAATATAATAAGACATTAAATTTAGCTCCACGTGTTCTTGGGAAGCTAGGAGAAAGAATAAGAATAGGCCATAGAATTTTAATAGCCTTAAATTCATTAGGACAATCAAGCCTTTCCCTAATATTATATTCTAAAAGCAATATCACACAGAATCTAATGTGACGGATGATGAACTACAAATGGTTGTCTTCAGTAGTAATTTTAGAGATGTTCTTCAAATGATAATTTTTATTTTCATCTGACAAAGACAACATTAAAATAACTGAAAGCATCTCTTCATTGGGTATGTTCTTTGATAAACTAGTATTATTACTAAATTTATCAAATTTCAAGATGTCTTTTAAGGTGTTAATTTAACATGTATGAAGACACTCAACAAACATTTTGTGTCAGGTCCTGGGCTAATTATTAGAGATACATATAAACAAAGTCTCTGCTTCTGAAAATCGCAATCTATGGAAGTTTAGCATAGTGTCTACAGATGTCTCAACTCAGATTTAACATTTAATTACTCTAAAGTTTTGAAGAAATCCACCTTAAGAACAACCAGATTCTGGAGGCTCTATTTAGTGAAACTTCAATTTGGTTCTCTTCCTTATTTAATTCACATGGAATTTTATTCTGATCTGTTGCTGAAAGGAAAATAATAATCCTGGTACCACAAGTTATTCTTCCTATAAAGGTAATGTTAAATCTAGAATACTCATAAAGCATATGTTTTAAGTTACTTTCTAATTGTGATGTTGGTTTGAGGTAAGCCACTATGTTCTTCACGACCCCATTTGACCTACAGCATAGGGTTTTGAGCTGGCTAATTATTAAGACCAGAGGTGTAGACTATGAACAGTTTATAGTGTAATATCTTCATCTTGACAGTGAGGATGAAACTTGTTAGCACGCTATTGTTTCTTCTTTACATGTTACAGAACGTCAACAGCAGGACATGATATTCTGTAGCATTTCCTCATGTTCTTAGATATTTTGACTGAAAATAGTGGCTTTCACATATGAAAAAAAAGCTTTCAACATGATTATTTTTGTAGGTGAGCAGGTAAAGAACAACAATCTCTGTGGATTCCATAGAATGTGATATTCATGATGAAACTTTGTAACAGTTCTCAAAAAACTAGTATAAGTTGGGAGAAAGAAAAATATATGAGCTTCTTAATAGTTCTGGGTAATGCCTAGATGACACTGAGACTTAATTAGCCCCTCTTTTTAAAAGACTGTTTTTCACAGGCATTTGAACTATAACCAAGGAAAGTTAAGCCAATTATTTTGGCCATTAAGAATCTCTCACAAAAAAAAAAAAAAAAAAAAAAAGAATCTCTCACCATAAAATGTTGTGTTAAGGTTTATTTAATAACTAGAGGCCCAATGCACAAAATTTTTGCAAGGGGCTTGGCCCTAGCAGCCCCAGCCGCTTGCCTCAGCCCTCGCAGCCCTGGCTTCGTCCAGAAGGTTATCCGGAAGGACATCTGGAAGGACATCCGGAAGGTCATTTGGCTGTTTGGTCTAATTAGTATATTATGCTTTTATTATTATAGATAGTAGTTTTAAATGAATGGTTTCATTGAAAAACCGTAGTATCATATCACCTGAATGTTTAAAGATAATGAGCAAGAAGAACTTCTTCAACTGAATAATCACTAATTAAAAAGCTAGATAATTTAATATTATTTTACTATGGATATGTATTTTTAAATAAATGTTATTTAGATGTTAACACTAATTTTCATTGATTCAACTCCACTTCATATTCAATTATTTAAAGCCATACTGCATCAAATAAATGTAGCATTACCCTACAGAAAATCAGAAACTGTCACATGTCATTTAAACTTTACATTTTTCTTTAGCTTTTGAGAAGCTAAACATTGGGCTTCATGAGAGAAAACATTTCTCTTTAAGAGATGCATCTATTCTTTTAAGTGATCAGGATCCTATTGAGTCAATTATTTCTTCCATATGGCTCAGAAATGTTATGCCGTTAGTTGGTCATGTATTTGACCTTTTATGAGAGGCAGACTGGACCAGGGGCTACGTCATTTTGGAATCTCCTCAAAAATGACTAAATGTTTTCCAGATGAACATTCTGTAGACCAAGGAAGGAGGAAGGAATTAGAAATCATTGCTTCCAAACCAGGATATTTGTAGACTTCTTCTTCTTTTGGAACCTATTGACCTAGAATTGACCCACTCAACGATTTCCTTCGCTCTCAGTAGTTATGATTAAGTCATGTAAATAACTGAAGATGAGATATATTTATTTCTACCCTACTTATTTCCAAAAAAATAAGAAGAATTCAAGACAGCTGCAAA